CACCTGGTGATGAAAAGTATCACTTTAAAATTCAAAATTAGAAAAAATATTGTGTGAAACATGTATAAGATTAAAATTAATTGTCGTTAAAAGTGATTGTAATACTGAGGATCCTTCGATATTTCGTTGTATCGGTTTATTTGCTTTCATAAATAAGAATGTTTGCAATTCGGTTTATCAATGGTAGAGATGCGAAAGGGGCACTGTGAATGTTGATCGATTAGGCTCAACTTTTGGAATTGCGTTTTAATGGCTAAAGCTATACTTACGCATATTGAATTTCATGCAATTCGGTTCATAACTCACGGAGATGCCAAAAGAGCCTTTTTTGTCCTCGTAAAACTGTCAATTTTCGTGCGTCGGATTGCAAAATCGGTAAAAGTATTTTGTCGGACAATGTTAAAATATCATTATAGACATAATTCTCAAGAAATGTTGCTAATATCAGCTGGATATCTATAAATTTTTTCGAGTAATTATTTTTGCACGCTTCACTCGGTAGACACCCCTAACGCTCCAACATTTTTGTCAGACAATTGTTTTTTCAGGAGTTTTACAATGTTCCCTTTCGATTAAACTTTTTAGAAACACAGTATCTATTAATTTTTTACGATACCAAATTATAGAATTTTCGAAAAGAAATGGAGGAGAAACGCCGCGAGTACAAAAAATTTCATAAATAGAAAAAGTGGTAGACTCGCCATAATGAAGCGATACAAGAAGTTACAGGAGGGTATTAATAAATAGCGCTTTATGTCAGCAGGCACTCAGACTATAATAAACACATAACTTATCTTATCCCTTGTCAACAAAATTGCAAAACACAAAAAAACCCTTGATCACAGGAATTTTGATTTCGAGGGGTACATCGTTTACGGTAAAAATTTCTTCATTGACTTCCTCTCTCTTAGTGCCAGAGGCGCACGATCCACAATTTTATTTACATTTTATGGTTTAGTCGTCAGTCTTCAGATACATTCCGCAATTAAAGTTGTTTACTCTCTTTGTTCATGCAACTAAATTATTATTGGACGATCATTATGTAATATTAATTGTCTAAACCACTTAAGGTTTAAAGAAACGTGTTTAAAAATCATATTAAATCTATTCCGAAGGGAAATAGAAGAAGTGCCAAATTCTTGACAGAACAGCTTCCTAGCCCAAACCAAAAATCACGCATTTAGAAGAGTGTCTTCCAAAAGTAAGTGTAGGAAAAAACTTTTCCCACGAAAGTTTATTATTTTCCGATATGGAATAAAAATATTCAATAAAAAGTATAGGTTTCTATTTGAAAAAATTAAATTGCCCTACACTTGTACCGGGTGATTCATTAGAAGTGAGGACAATTTGAATTTCCCGCAAATCAAAAAAATTATGAAGTTGGTATTAACTGATGATCATTTATTTAATTGCAGTGGTGTATCATCATGCTTTCAGTAAATCGTTTACTTATTTATAATCTACAAATACTGCTTCTGTTGTACCACAAATTATAAACTAAAACAAGACACAGTCACGTTTCTTACATATTTTAGTGCATCAACTCTAAAAATTGTTCAAAATAGAAAAAGTAATAAACCGCAAATGGCACACAACAAGTAACGGCGACACTGGTTTCTTAAATGACAGTCATGACAGAAAAAAATTTCTAACGAAATTCAAGCGATCATCACTTCTAATGAATCACCCGGTATCTTAAGGGATAGTTATGTGAAAATGTGCATAGCGTCAATAAATTGGACCTTCCATATGAAAAATGTTTTTTAAATTAATGATATTCAAATATAAGATTACGGAACTGGTAGTCGCAAATCACAAAATAAATGACCCACTCTCGGCTACACCACATTTCGTCTCGCTTATGCAGTTAAACTTCAATCCCAATAAATCATCCCTTGAAACCGATACCTTTTCTAGGCAAAAATGCTTGCCTCATAACTATTGTGTATAAGCCGATATTGATTTTTGTTCGGTTCCGAATTCTATTGCTATACCCGGACCAAAACGAATTTTCCCCTTTATTACATTAATAATTCCAATTAGTTGTGGCGATAGTGTTTGTGAATTGTGTTTATTACTAACAATTCATTTATTGTCTACAGTGCCAATACTCGTATTTAAATCGGTAACCACTCGTAAACCTCGCTCGTTATTAAAAAATGTGGGTTACTATTAAAAAAAAACAGTAGTATGACCTCATGGCGCTAAAAACTCATATATTAAAAAAATATTTGATATGCCTAATCTATACTCCCAACATTTTAACGAAATCGAAATAACCGTTTGACAAGAAAATTTTAGTTTTTTAACTTTGCGGTGGTTCTCTTGTTGGCCCCGTAATTTATAAAATCTTTCTTAACAGTCTTTCTGCAGGCGATTTTGAGATTATATGCTATGTTGTGTTGTCACTTTTCAACCCGAGTAATTTCATTCAAATAATACGCATTTTTTAGGACATTTTTTTGGTTGATAAACGTTTTGGCTGGTGATTTATAATAAGATAAAGGATTGAGGATTTTTACTTTCGCTACTATAAAATACAATAGATTTATTCTTATACAGCGTTAGAATTTTGTTGGGTTCGATTAGAGTTCCGGGTATAGTGCCTCAGGATTCGGAAAATTTCTCTGGTATGGCTTTGGTTGGAAAAATGTTTGCCCTGTAGCGGATTTGAGTTTTGGTTAGAGTTCTGGTCCTTCTGGAGAGTTGTGGATCTTTCGATAATCGAATTTTTTATACAAATTATGAGCTCTGACGAATTTAATTTAAAAACTTTTTATCACAAAATATATGGCTCTAGCTTACATTTATAACAAAACATTCGTTCCGGAGATATCGCGCTGTCCCGTTCCTCGCTGAACACTCTGTACAGTTGAGTATATTTTTAGTGGAATTTTGGAGCTCTGGCAACAGTTCCGGATCCCCCTACACAAGTTATGATTCACTAAAAGATTTTTATGTCTAATGCGTATTTAGTACTTATGGTCATTAAGTATTGAGAGTTTCTATTTTAGACGAGATCTATTGCATTGATTTTTCGTGGAAATTTCAGGAACTTTAGAACTATTGGGGATCTTTTCAGAACTAAAAAAAATTGTCGCAAAGGGGGGCTGTGTGAAGTTGGGTCCCCAATATTTTCAAAATTATAATTGTCGAAACTTCTAAGATTTATCAAGAAACTCCACAACCTTACGAGGGGGCGCTAAAATTCTAATTACAATTGGGGGTAATAACATAAGGTTATTTGGCATATAAGTATCTACAGTTCAGCTTTGTTCAGCCTTGTTTCAAGAACGGTGCACAGCAGATAGAATTTAAACTAATAATCTTATGCTTGATACGACAACCTCGCAAGGAGGTTAATAGGTTATCTGTAAATGTTACCAAAAAGTTACTGGGGAATTTTAATCAGAACCTCCACCTCGAATACGCAAACAGAAACTTCTATAGATTCTGGATCTGGTCGACAGGAATGAGGAAGAACTTAGAACGTTATATTTAGTTGCAAAATTCGTAAAAACATTTTGTAATGTTAAAGGTTATTAACCGAAAATCGAAGTAGGAAGTCACTAGTCAGTAGGTGATGGGTAATTAATTATATATAGTTTATCTCTGTTGAAGAGCTAATTAGTAACTCTAAAGTAAATAATGGATAAAGAAAATATACATAATTCCACTTACCTACCTCAATCGCATTATCGTTCGTTTTATTGAACACAAAGCATGCATGCAACTTTCCCAAGTAAATATTTGTTACTAACGATAATGTCTTCATACCTGAGTTATTTAGAACGGGAATCATAATTCTTATCAATCGGTCAGTGCACTTTTACAAGATTATGCACGCTTGTAATAATATAGGTACCTACCTAGTTTGTATTGACAAAAAATTTTAAAGAAAATTGTACAAAACACGGTAATCTGAGATAAGGTATTCTAGGTTCGTGACTGGAAATTACGTGGCATTAATTAAAGTTAATTATTCTACTGTAATTACAGAAGCATGAAGGCATTGTGTAAATAAAATTATAGATTAGTTTATCAGAACTAGGACATCAAACATCATTATATTTACAGGCAGATGCTAAAGACGTTATTCTTTCCATTCCATTCCAAATAAAACATAAGCCCACTGATAATAATAATCACTCTACAAACTGACATAATTGCTTACTTTTTTCGCAACAAAGAAAATTGTTTTGTGGTATAGACAAGAGGGTTGGGAATTGGGATGTGTGTGGAACAAAAATATACCCAGAAAAGTCAAAATGCTCAAAGGAGAATGGAGATATGAGGAAATTATGTTCAATTTTAATCCCATGTTAGCCGTCTCGCTAAAGTTTGAATAATGGGAACTTTTGGCAAGCATGTTTTTAAAAATGAAAAAAAGGTTATGTTACATTTGACGTTTCATTGGCATATTAAATAGCCCTTCATCTCAACGAATTCAAATTGAACTCTAGCAGCCAATTTGTTACCATAAACCATATAATTTATTTTTCCAATTATTCTTATTGGCACAACGTTTGGGCTGCGCTGACAACACTCACGTATGGTAGTTTTCTTTGATTATGAAATCCTGAATGTCATAGATTTACTACATGTATTGTGATAATCAAATAGTTCACGGCAGTGTATGTAAGGTATGTATCTAATATCAATACAAATAAGACGGTGGCGTACAGGTTTTTGGGCTAGCCTACAAAGGAAGTGTTGTACCTATAGATAATTCGCTTACTAACTTTGTAAACTGTGCAAGAAAAGATTCTTCTACGGCAACGGAGCCCGTATAAATAATGTTTTTTTATAGAATCTAATGTAATTTTGTGATTGGATTTTTGTCTACCTGCACAACTGCATAACACATTGATGTGTAAAATTTTTCTACTCACTTGCTAAATAAGAAAGATATATCTGCATCAAGTATACCTATATACTAATAAATTTAATATATAGTATTATTTAAAAAAACTCATAATGTCTAGAACACACGAACACCATCCATAACATCACATTTCAGAACAATAAATGTGAACTGAAGACATAATGATTATTACATTGTGTCGCTCCATTTATTATTACAAACATTTCTGAATACTTTCCGTTAATTGTTATGATAATATGTTAGGTCAATGTTCCTATTGCTATTATTGTTGAGAAAATTGTAACAGACAACGATAAAGTGAACCACTTTTGTCCTCCAACGGATATTTTAACAATAACAATCATGTGTCATCCAGTTCAATAACACCGTAGGTATAGATAGGTACCACTTACTTACTAATTATAGAAAAAATTACCAATTACCATGCAAAACGAAATTGTTTTGGAAAATAAAAAGAGAAATATGATGTTTGCCTAGATACAATACATGAAGACATTCGCCCCAAATTTAAGTTCATGATCATGGATGTCACTTGCATAAGTATTGTGTAAGCTGAGGGCTGAGAGATTAGATTAGATAACAACATGGATTAGAATTAACACTTGGATAAAATTGTGTTTTTTTAGGAAGAAATCTGTCTAGCAGTGCACAGCACTTTGGAAAGAAGTTGACAGAAGCATGAGGCGAAGTCAAGTGATTTTTTCAAAACAAATATCATAAGTGATATTGCCAAAAAGCAACAAACTTCATATATATGTCAATAAAATTACAGAAAACTTCTGCAGGTAAATTTTTTTCTCGAAGATATTGCTCACTTAATTTTATTTAATAGAATAAAGTCAATACATATAAATATTACCTATCTGGCTGTTATCAACACTTTTCCGCTACGAAACTAGCGCGTTGGTTTTGCACAGGGTAAGGGTTCTGTTTTTTCATTAAGTACAAAAACAGGCTGTTACTACTCGTATGTTACTTTGCCAGTAGGTACCTATAAAACACTCAAGTGCAATACTTAGTCATCGAAATGCGATTGATGTGATAGTTGCTAGTACATTATATCTAGAGCATTCTTTTATATCTGGGTTTTTCTATAAGATTTTTAAATATGTATTATAGTGAGGTATTGAATAAACTATTTAGATTATCTACTTCTAATTTTGTTTGTTTTCCGCACCAACTTGAGGTAAGAAAAATGGTCGAACAAGTAAATTAAAAAGAATATGTAAATTGGTCGTTTTTTTTGTCTTCAGGATATAATCATCATTAAATAATAATAAAAATAAAGAAGATTTCAAGAGGGAAGCAGGGAAATGGTGTCCTTGGTCAGCTATACCAACTTAAAGCATATACCTAACACGTTGAAATGGTAAGATTTGGAAAGTATAGAAAAATGTATCGTTTAGTTTGGAGAAATTTCACAGCAATTAAAATCCATAGACTGGTTCACTTTTCGAAGATTCTCTGTCCTAGGGGCATTTCAGACAACATTTGGCCAAATAGGCTTTTTTTACTAATTGGTACCTGCTGAACACGAATATCGATGTTGGCACCTCGAAATCTGAACAGGAAGTCCAGAATTCAAGATGGCGGCCAATTTCCGAAAATGTTGATATTTTCACTCATGCGACAGATTTTTTCGATCTAAAAACGGATTATAATGTTATTCCTGACGGAGGTATGGCACGATAATAATAGTGAACCTAATGTTTAGACAATGATTTCATAGTTTTTCTAAGTTTACTGACGGAAAGTACTTTCTGCCAGTAAACTTGCCAAATGTAAATTAGGCTTAACGTCAAAGTGCGTAAAAGTGGATTCCTTTTTTTCATAGTACTATGGCTACTATTTAAATTTCTTCACATCGTGTAATTATTAAATTATTTCTGTTTTGGCAAGCATTTTGGTTCCTGTGCGTCGTGTGAAAGATATCCGCGATGGTCCATGAGCTCATATGGAAGAATTTCCTTTTATTAGAGGAAAACAAAAGAAATCTTGTCGCATCACCTTGAAGAGCCCTCATTTGACGGCGTACTGGTGATTGCGAGAGGCTTCAATGATGAAAGAAAAGTGACATTATAATCTGTTTTTAGATCGAAAAAATGGGTCGTTTCTAAGGAGGAAATCTGTGTCGTCTGACGGTTACAGAAAACGTTTCTTTAATCATTGAAACCTCCAGCAATCACACGACGCACAGTAACTAAAATGCTTGCCAAAACAGAAATAATTTAATACCTACACGTTGTAAAGAAATTTAAACAGTAGCCATAGTATACCTACTATGAAGAAAAGGTTTCCACTTTTACGCACTTTCAGGTTAGAAAAACTATGAAATCATTGTTTAAACATTTGTTCACTATTATTATCGTGCTATACCTCCGTCAGGAATAACATTATAATCCGTTTTTAGATCGAAAAAATCAGTCGCATGAGTGAAAATATCAACATTTTCGGAAATTGGCCGCCATCTTGAATTCTGGACTTCCTGTTCAGATTTCGAGGTGCCAACATCGATATTCGTGTTCAGCAGGTCCAAATTAGTAAAAAACGCCTATTTGGCCAAATGTTGTCTGAAATGCCCATAGAACCTGTTAAAACGCTGTTTTTTATAAAAGTGAACCAGTCTACCACAGGTGTAACTATCGATGAAAAAGATAACTCGAAACTTTAGTTACTGCGATAGATATGCGTTGAGGAAAAATCTGGTCATATAAGGGAATTTATGCAGAATTGTGTAGGTAAGCAGCGATCTGCGCGGGGCCGAAGTCTCGAAATGGGTATATTTAGCGGACATTTGTGAGGCAGGCCCAGCAAAGGAACGTACCTATGTGCCAAAAAGGGATTTTGTATTACAAATCATCTAAATTAAAAAAACTATGTTTCAAATGGTGTTATTAGACAGTCAGCATACAGTAGAGGATAATAAAGTGAGGACAATCAATAAGAACAATGTAACATTTTATGTAGATTCAGGACATAGGTAGGTACCCCACCAGTCATTTAGATGAACAACAATTATCTTTGTTCACAGTTAGTAATGTTGAAAACCCAATTTAAATAGCGGTCAGAAAACTAGTAATCATTATTCATTTTAATGCAAGTGGTGGAGGAACATTTTAGTTTGTAGTGTTGTTGGTATAGGTATGCGGTCATTTTCCCGTTGCAAAAATCCCACATGGTCGTAACAAAATCTCAATTGGCCGCCGTTGTGAATAAAATGAACGCTTTATTATTGGATGGGGTTTTCAAGTGGATGTCAACAACAAATTAAATTTAAATGTAGATAATCTTTAATATACTTATAATATATAATATAATATTTATGGATAAAAATTTTGATCGTTTTTAAATTCTAGTCTGCACCCAAAGTACTTGATTCCAAATCAGTTTCTTAACTATCCGTCCGACTACACATATTAGAGCACTATTCATTTTATTCACAGGGGCGGGCATATTGACATTGACCGGATGGATTTTGTGATGGGGAGCATTTAACCAGCGCGCAATTAATTATAGTAGTGCGGGATTTTTACCAAATGAACAAGTGACTGGCGACCACCAAAGTAATTTAACAATTAATGGTAACATTTTCAACATACAGATAAGACGAGTATTTTTTGAAATTGCCTCAACGTTAAATTAATTTGACAGTATAGTTTCTATAGAAACAAGTGTATCTACATTAGAAGTTATCTTGATACTTGATACTTTGACATATTCCGGGCGTCGCGTCGCCGCCATCAGATAAATTTGCCTGAAAGATAAATTGCCGGTCCGTATTTTAAGTTTTTTTTCCTAAGCTCCTGGGCTATATGGGTAAGTAGGTAGGTACCTGAATTTTTTCATGATTTTTGTAGTAGTACACACTACACAGTTAATTTTCACACAGACATTATACACAAAAACGAGGTGGTAAGCAAATGAGGGGGTAGTTTGATTTGCCTCACCACAGAGCCTGCACGTGAGTTCCGCCACAAATCCAATATTATGCAGGTGATAGTTGACCATCCATCTTTAAGGACACCGGTGATCTTTGTCCAAAACTTAATAATGAAGGAGTTACGGGCAATGTTAAATTTAACAAGAAATCGATCTAGTAGGCCATGTAATTCTTTTGTCATATTGCTATTGTGACATTGGTTATTCGTTGAGTTGACGTAATTTTAAGATTTGTTAGTGCCTATCCTACCATCATGGACATCCCCAGGAGAGTTGACCAAGTTCTGAGAGAGGCGGCCACGCCAGGCATAGGTATGTCAAATAGGTAAAAGTATCAAATTGATATGGCTACCTTTTCAAGGTTTCCAGGAAGCGAACACTACGCTCCATCTACGCAACATAATTATATTGAAATACAGGGCGTTTCAAACAGAATCATCCGATTTTGTAGGTTTATAATTTGTTTAGACGCCATTTTGACAATAACTAAGCTGGGCGTTGACAGAAGCGCGCTACTGCTACCTAGCGGAAACCACGCGAAACTCGAGAGCTTCCTCTTACTAACAGTACATTGTTCTATCAAATCGGACTTATAGATGAATAGCAATACATTTTTAAAATCGGATGATTCTTTTTGAAACGCCCTGTATTATCTGCGTGTTCTAAGATGCAAAAAAAGTCGGTTGATATGGTGTAGGTGCAATAAACGGATTGCAGTTTTGTTTGTTATGAAGATACAGATTGCAGTGGTGATTAAAAAAACCGTTGCTGAATTTATTTGCAAACTTTTCGAAAATGAAAACTGGATTGATAATTGTTTTTTTTTTAATCCATGTGCTTAATCAAAATAATACTAAGCTGCAGCATGTGTATTTGAAATATTACATTATATTTATGCGAAAATCTAAATAAAGGGTCTATAACGAAAGGTCATATACCACTTGAGGGTTAGTGTTATATTTTAAAGATAGTGGCGCGCCTAATAGTTATTTATCATACAAGACGATAAAGGGATGTTTTAAGCATTGAGTGCGCAGCCACAAGTGAATGAACTTTCACGTTAGTTTTTTTTAAATTTTAACCATGGACCAAAATAAATAGTAGGCCGTGCATTTATGAAGATTTTGTTTTGTTTATTGTATCAATGGCAGCCGATACCAATTAATAAATGTGGCTGGTGGTAGAAACATGCCATTTCAAAATTTTGAAAAAATGATACTAGGTATATATAAAATATAGGTTGTGGTACATCAATGTAATCAGGAAAACGAGTACAAAAATTGACCTTAAAATATATAGAGTGTTGCATTTAAAAGTACTGGGTCAAATCTTAGAAACCGTGGTCCAAAAATTTTTTTTAACTAAGCCACTGGATTTTTCGTAAAAATATCAAAAACAAACAGTTTTTACCTTTTTTTCTATTTATTACATGGATAGTAAGATAAGATAATATCCCAAAATTTGTAACATCCCCATAAAAATTTTTTTTGCTTTGCAATTAAAGAAATTAGTTTACACAAGTTTCTACCGCCATTTTGATTTTTTTACTACACACTGTTCCCGCGTGTCGGAAAACCATCACCATTAGGTCTTTATTTACTAGCCAGAAAATAAAACTAACAATGTTGCGTATCAAAAAGTATTAAGTAAAATAAATATGAAGTTTTTTTTAAAAATTTTCTTATTATTTATTCCAGTTCGAATTTTTTATTCATAGCTAGACAGGACAACGTCTGTCGAGCCAAAGTCTTTCATAATGACGAAAGCAGGGACGAAAGTAGTACCTTTACGAGAAAAAATCGACTCTCGTTTTTCTTCGATATGTAATATGGGTGATGGACTATCCAAACAAAATAATGCATAACTAAATAGTTCCACGAAATAAGCACATTTTTCCCAGTTAATAATTTAACCCAAATAGGGGTTCCGAAACCCTGTTACAAATCCTTAAAATAAGGGGTTAGTCGGAAATATTCACAATGAAATTAAAAGGTTCTGGGAAGGAAGACAGGGTTTTTATTGAATGCAAGCAAATTCTTAGGAAAGGTATATCTGGGTAAAACTTGATGGATGGGAAAGGATTAACTAAGAATACAAGTAGTACAGATCCTTGCTGAAGAAGTTTACGCGAAATTAAATTGTTAAAAGTTATATAGGTATGTATTTTGTTTTATTTTAATTAAGAGAAAATGCAACTAGGAAGAATGA